GATGAAAGTAAGATATGCAGGAGTTGCGCCGGAATCAAGACAATGATCACGTTGGGAGTTCGAGAGTTCGACGGAAGTTCGGACAATCGTCGGAGGTTCTGCGGGAACAAATCCGAGAAGTCCATGAGCTTGCCAAAGAAGCTTGTCAGAAATCGCCAAGTGGATCATCGCAAGTCCAGGAGTTTGCTGGAAGTCCGCAGGAGCATCACCGAGGGTTCAACGGATGATCGACGGAAGTTCGCCGGAAGCTCGCCAGAAGAAGCGATTGACGCACTGGAGCAAGTTGCAGTAAATGTCTTAGGAAATATCATAGTTAGCACAATGATTAAGTTGGAAATGGGAGGTGATCCGATTAACTTAATCTTGGGGCAATTGAGCCCCTAAAAAACCCAAATTGGGCCGAATGGATCAACCCATTCAGATCCTGATTTCTGTCAGGCGGTTGAACCGCCTCAGTCAGGCGGTGGCACCACCTGAGCTCAGTCTTCGAGCTCTGGCAGGAGGTGCAACTGCCCCTAACACGAGGTGGCACCGCCTGGGCTAGGTCTCCGAGCTCTAGCTGAGCGGTGCAACCGCCTCAGTCAGGCGGTGGCACCGCTTGAGCTTAGTCTTCGAGCTCTAGCAGGAGGTGCAACCGCCCCTGACAGGAGGTCGCACCGCCTAGAGGCTCAGTCTTCGAGCTCTGCCAGGCGGTGCAATCGCCAGATCCCGAAATTCCGGGAATTGACAGTTTTGAGCTCCAAATTCAAACTGGGTTGGGGCCTATAAATACCCCACCCTTTCAGCACTGAAAGGGCACCCAGAAACCACTGAAATTCTGATTTTACTTTGTGATTTTTAAAGCTTAAAAGTGTCGTATGAGTTGAAAGTTCTTCTTCCTCTTTTCTTCCAAGTTCTAATATGATAAGAGAGGAAAGAAAATTCTGTAAGGGTTGTCTCCTAAACCCGTCAAAAGGAGTGAAACTGTAAAAGGGTGGTTGGCCTTCGCCTATTGAAGGAAGGCCTCTAGTGGACGTCGGTGACCTCGTCGGAGGAGGAAGCCAAAAGTGGATGTAGGTCAAGATTGACCGAACCACTCTAAATCTCGGTTTGCATTTACTTTGAGCATCTTATCTTTACTGCAAACCTCCTCAAAAGCTTACTGCCTTCTGCGCATATACGATCGTGTTTCAAGCTCTGCATTTTCCGAATCGGCGTTTAGATGTAAATCGTTTTTATCGTACGAACATCATATTTTAGTTTGCCTTTACGTTCTGATTTCTATCATAACTACAAATTGCCTTTATATCTTTGCTTTAACTGTATCTTTCTTGGTTACAAGTTAAAGTGATTTACGAATCAGATTTTCAACCGAAATCGCTCTTATCGTACGAACGCGATTTTAATCGTCAAAAGTTTTCTGCTGCACTAATTATTCACAATATCAATTTACAAAGATACACGTTGATAATAAGTCAGCATTGGCCAAGAACTTGGTCTTCCATGAACGAAACAAGCATATCAATATTCGCCTCCATGGAGAAGAAAGTTCTATTGGACTACATCAAATCTGGTGATCAAGTTATAGATATTTTTACCAAGCTCCTCGATTCAGATGCATATTTTATGATGAAGATTTCTTTTAAGAGAATAAAATTTAATTAAAAGAAAGAATTGAAATATCTTTCATGATCACATTGGTGAAAATAATTATAATCTTTATAATTTAGTAAGAATAGAGAGGTTACAACAAATATCACCATGAAGATGAAGGTTATGAAAATAATAAATCATTAGTAAATTAGACATGTTATATATAATAAAAATATATGAATGTAGCCTTAATAATTGAGTCTTGTAACTCTCATCTATGTCCATATAAATAGATGAGACTTGTTATGGTAAAAAGTATTAGAAAACATGAGGAAAATAAAGTGTAGAAACTTGTCTACAAGAAATAAAGTTTTGTTTGTTGCTTGCATCATTTCTCAACTCCTCTCCAACTCAGTATCTCTTCTTTTCTTTCTGCCATTTTGATCGGGTTATTTTTTTATTCAATTCTAATAACTATAGGTCAATCACATCAATTATAATGTCAGATCTAGACTTACTTTCAAAGGTCCAATAAGTATATTATTATAAATTTACACTAAAATATTTTTAATTAATAGTTCAAGATTAAAACCAATTGCTTCTAAAATTTGAGGTTTGAAAAAATGTGAAATATCACTTATACTACTAAATTGTGATCAAACTTGGGTATGCTTGATCTTACTTGTGATTGTTCCTTCACTTTCAGTTGCGTAAAATGTTCATTTCAGATTATTGCATACAAACATATCAAAAAGAAGACTTTAATATATAGAAAAGAAAAACAATCCAAAGCAAAATGCCTGAAGCCAAACCTCCAACTCGGCATTTACTAGGGAAGTCAGCCTCAATTTGGTAGGAGCCAATTGTCGCCACTTGAACCAGTCTTGCTCCTGCCACATAAAATTAGTATATGAGATTGATGGAGATGTTGGTCTTCGGTCGAGGCTTGCAACTTGAGTGCCAAGACTACACTATAGCCAGCTTGGACAATTGGGTTTTTTTGAGCCCAAATATTAATTAAAAGTTAAAAGGTGAGGGCAGCGAGCGTTAGCAGCAACGGTGCACTGAGAGAGAGAGAGAGAAAAAAAAAAAAAAAAAAAAAACGAGAGAGAAAGATTAGGATATTGAGTTTTATATTTGACGATTAGTCGTTAAATATTATCAATTTTAGTCCAAATTTTATACGGAGAATTTTTGTACTAAGTTTTATAATTCTAACGGTGTTGATCTATGATTATCTTTTCTGATGTACTTTCCTACTGTACCTATTTTGTAAGATATAAATTTTTTTTTAATGAGATCCATCTATACGATGATGATATGTTATTCGTGAGCCAAGATCTATGTTCTTGATGTTATTATGATCCTCTAGTTATTCTAAAGAAGATTTTCTGCACCTATTATCATTACTATTGATAGTGGAAGTTTAAGATGAGTTATGGTCCCGTGATTTTTCTTACATTGGGTTTTTCACGTTAAAAGAATTGGTTGATTAATATTTGTATTTTGATATCAAGTTGATATTTTGATGAGGAACTCATTTTGATACACAAAGAGGGAAAAGAATTATTCCATATTTTTTCCAACAATTATTTGTATAATAAAATATATAATTAGAATGTTTTAGCTAATAAGCCGAACTCCAACGTTGACTAATAGAAAAGAGCAATTCAGCCTCAAGTTACCGCGACAACATTTCAGCGTATTGTTTAAGGTCTTATTATTACACCGCTCCTACTTCCACTGACTTTCAAATAAACACAGAGATTGGCGTAGACGTCCAACTTCCAACCAAACTGTGCCTGTAACGTAACTGCTACGTTGCATTTACGTTAGGACGTCAGATCCATGGGAGACGATTTCAAGCTCTCACAGCTAAATTATCCAAAGTCAAGAATGCAGCGAGAGGTAGCCCATCGAAGTTGACTTCCTTTGCCAAAGTCAAGAATGCAGCGAGAAGTAGCCCATCGAAGTTGACTTCCTTTGCCAATGCATTGGTCCAAAGACTGTTGTTTGTGGCAGCAGTCCCGTCCTATAAATTCTTCCACCTCTCCTCCATATTTCACCACCAGCCTTGAGCCTTCTCATCCCCTGAAGCATTCTTCTTCTTCGTTAATTCGTTTCTCGGTGTTTATAGTCCAAGCTTGTTAGCGAGGATGGCGATGCAGATGATCGAGAACTACAAGGCTGAGGCCGAGGTCTACCATGGAGATCTTGCCCTCTGTAAGAAGAAATCCACGCAACTACTCCAAGAGCTGGGCCTCCCCAAGGGACTGCTACCCCTGGAGGACGTCCAGGAGTTCGGCTACCACCGCGCAAGTGGATTCATGTGGCTCGTCCAGAAGAAGAAGATAGAGCACACGTTCAAGAAGATCAAGCAGCACGTCTCCTATGCCACCGAGGTGACCGCCTTCGTGGAGCAACGCAAGCTGAAGAAGATCACAGGTGTCAAGACCAAGGAGCTACTTCTCTGGCTCTCTGTCGTCGAAGTGTTCATCGGCGATCCCTCCTCCGGGAAGATCACCTTCAAGACTGGCACTGGGCTCTCCGACAGCTTTCCGGTGCCGGCATTTGAGGAAGAAGAGTAGAAGAGGAAGAGCAACTATAAGACATGTGGATGTTCGTATAAATCTAGTATTTGAAACTGTCCTGTCACTTGATTTGTCAATGTTTCGTGGTGGAATCTTCTCAATGTGTGCTAAATATAGGTTTGTACTTCTGTCTAGATATTTCTAGCGAACACGCGTAATGTTAATGTTGTTCTGTATCCCTCTATTGATGATGTGATGATAGAACTATTCAATTCTGCAGTTTCTCCAAAGTAAGCAAGTCTAAACTGGTTCTGGTTGATTCAAGAGGTCAAAACAGTGTAGTGGACCACTAAGATTGCATCTCCATTTCAAAAACATGGTAAATCAAACTCACAAAGCGCAAAGAGCATGCTGCGTAGAGAAAGTAACTTCCAACAAAGATGGCTTTATCCAGTTGGTTGTGGAGACTAGAGAACAGAGAACATTAGCTGACAAGTTCCAGTTGGTTGTGGAGATTTCCGTGTTCCTTGGTATCTTCCTAAATCAACTTCAAGATTTATTCCTCTGTAGGCCAATTGATAAACCAAAGCAACATAAATCGATACTAAAAGAAAGTAAACTTGGATAAAACCAATGAAAAATCAGCACCGAAGACAGGAAGTTCATCAACATATGCAGTAGTCTTCCACAGCCACGTGGATCCATAAAAAAATGTGCTATGTTGTCACTTTACCTAGCAAA